GATATTTGCATTTTATTAACGTAAGTAAATAAACAACATATTAAGGGGCTTTGGTAGGCAGTAGTGTGCTCGTAAAAATTGAGATCAGCATTATCCTTCAAAAGCCTATTAACTAGTGTGACGAAAACTATGATTATATACAATTACCAAAATTATCAGTCGTAATAGATAATCGATCACTCGTTTCTTTTTAATCACAAATATTACGTAAAATGGTCCGAAAATAGTAAATAATAAACTTCCCTCAAATAGATACCTTCCCACATTAATGTTCAGGAGTCAAATGTATTAACCGGCCAAAATGAGGACTTATCCTAAGCTGGGTAAAAGGTCATAATTGGTAACATTTCTTAAGGCGTAATAAAAGTTTCACTAATTATCTCCTCGAATTACGTTAATATATGACCGTTAAAAACGAACATTAAGATGAAGACTCTTGTGTGAATCTTATTATAAAATGAATTGCTTGAATATATTAATACAAAGTTGTCAGTAAATAAAATAAAATATCACAATAAATCGGATGCCACTGAAATATCCACAAAAAATATGCGGTTATCTCAGAAAGCACTAATAAAATTAAAAAAATATATCGTAGATATGAAGACCAGGCTTTATATTGTTGGTTCGACTTTGTTTTCCTAACTTAGTCGGAGCGTCATGGGAACCTTGTGGAACAGGCCTAGTCCCGTGAACACTGCCATAGTATTCGCGATTTCAAGCATTGGACCATTGGCTGGGTACATTCCCAAACGTTTCGCCGACATCGTTAGTGAGACGCCATCATAAGCACAGAGTTACAACTTGTCCAAGTAGCAAATGAAGGCGATACGCTTGACCAATTTTCTGTTCAACCGTTGTGGCATCACTCCTCACCCCTATTTTTTGTTCTACCTAGTGCCGCATCTCTTTTCCTCAACCCCAATTCATATGACCCCTCCACTTATTCACACAATTATGTGCTTTCGTTTCCTCCAATGTCACCTAAGAGTGGTTCGCGACAAGTGGATTTAGGGAAACGTAATTCATCTCCACCACAAGTAGCAGATTCCGGTTGCAGGGCTCCTGACCTACATTTCGCCCCTTGTTTTTCCTACCCGCGGTGCTAAACATCAAAATCACTATTTGACTATTTTTCGTATTTGAGTAGTTTCGAGACTAGCAGTAAATAAGTAATATGAGATGTATTCACCCTATTTCTTTTAAGGTGATAAAGGACTGGTAGTAGAATTTTCCCACAATGATATGAGTAGAGCTGACGTTTCCACATAGCCTTGCTTTCCCAAAAGTTGTTATCATCCAGGGTGGACTGCAGTTTCGACCTCGCATCGGTCTTATCAACACCTCCAGCAGGAGTCGAACCGTGATAGTGCAGAATGCGAACTTGACACGCTAACTACTCGGTTAAATTGCCACGAGTGCCCTTAAGTCACAAGGCAGATGTGAATTTCAAGGAAGGCCAGGTCTTTTACCATATCACATTCTTTTGTGGGATTGTCAATGAAGCAAAAGTATATTTGCTATAACAATCGACTACGTTAATTATTTTTCGTACTTGAGTAAAGTATACATCAAAATTATTCAAAAGACCCTCCTCCCCTTTAATACACTGTTGATCTATTAATCTAGTAAATTGATATGAATTCTTCACTGAATATTTCCAATACTCAGCCAATTTCTTTAGTTCTCTTCATAAGAAACGTGAGATCCTATGCATCACAGTACCCTTGTTATTAACACTCAATCTTAAGGAAACTCCTTCCTTGTGTATTTTTGAAAGGCCGCAAGCCGAAAATTTATAGGTGAACAAGTAAGGAAGTGGGGAATAAAAACAGCCTTCAGGGAAACTACGACACTTTCTTCAGTTATGCCCACTTTTAGAGAAAGTTGACCCATTATCCAGATCGGGTTGCTACAAGATAATGTGCTCATGTAGTCACTTTTATCTTGGAGAGACTTGTCGTCCCATTATACAAAGAGTGGTTGAGCACAAAAGCGCCTGCAAAGCTGTTGGATTAAAAAATCAGAGCTTGCTGAGCACAGGGCAGAAACGAGACACGAGATTGATAGTCACTTCTCTGTACTTTTAGCTCACTTTTTCTCTCTCGCTTTGAGACCAAAAACAAAAATAGGCTCATCAAAAAAAGCCAGACGAGTTTCCAACCTTGCGCAATCGGAGTGATGGTTATAACATGTATGTAGAAAGGGAGAGACAAGGGTCATCAAACCATGATGTCTAAAAACAGACGTTCCTTTTTGCTGTCCTAATTTCTTTGAGCCATCACTGAGGGTTTCGTGCATAAGCGAACACAAACAGGCACATACACATACATCGAAGTTGATATATGACCTTAACTAACCAGATCACTTTATACTTGATCAAGATGTAGAGTATATATACCACTTTTTAGAGATTTGCCGGTGAGTTTCTTGACTCGTTAGCTTGATTTTTGTTGTGACAATGATACCTTGTTCTGATTATGTTCGTCATATGACGGACGAAACTTAGCACCTTTTTATCGGAATCGAAGGAAATTACCTTGGAAACAGCGTCAGCATGAATCTTCCAGTAAAGTAAATCGACAGCTGTTCAAGAGGAATCCCCAGTCGTCCTCTAGTAGAAA